TAATATAATATATATATATATATATATATATATATATATATATATATATATATATATATATATATATATATATATATATATATGTATACTTTTTTTCCAAATTTCATAAGCAATATAAATCATTATTTAAAAGTTAAAAAGGTTATTGACTTATTGAGATCTCAACAGCTAATAAAAATATCTTAAGAGTAAATTGAAAAATGATATAAAAGTGATATCAAACAATTTGTTTTCAACAATCTCTTTCATCTCTCAATTAAAAATATTAATCAATGTGAGGTAATAAAATCAGAAAAGATAACAGGAATAAAATGAAACCAGGAAAAAAGGATGAAGAAATCGTGGAAATCATCACTGACAAATCACATGAAGTTTTTCAGAATCCATTAGACTATTTAGATGGAATAATTTATAGCTGCAGATCAATCATCAATCATTAAATTTTACTGCTTGATTATAAACAAAATCTGCTATATACAATAATAACTCGAAACTGCAATTCCAAGCGATAATTTATCTGGAAATTTCGGTAGTGATAAATTACTCTAAATAAAGCAATTTTTCACATTATAGCTAGCATTAATAATATATGAGAAAAAGAAAATTGAAATTAATTATTCTATTAGTAATCGTAAAGTTCAAAACATAAAATTAAAGCTCTTCTTCGTTAACAAAATTTTCCAATATGCAAATCCTACAAGTTCTCAGTCTTATTTAGATGAGGGATAAAAATATCCAATATTAAATAGACCATTATAATTTATGTGAACAGAAAATCTACCTTTGCAAAATATACTAAGTTGAAGCATAAAAAGAAAAACAGCGAACAGATGTTCAGTTGCTTTATAATTCCATCATACATCATTTTTTCCTGGCACAAAATTTGTTTGGTGTGATACCTAAGTTTTTAAATTTCAAAATTAACATCTATCAGTTCCATTTAAATAATTCTAGCTCTTTTGTTAAATGTTCAATCCACTAAAGGAAGGAAAATGAAATTTTTTCGAGGTAACAAACAAATAATTGTCCGGCTATTATATATATCGAACGTAAATGAACGATACAACTAAAAGAAGTAATTAACATTCCAATCAAATTTAATGCATTACACAACAATTATAAGAAATGTCAATCAGAATTAGTAATTTAATAAAATGCAACAAATAAAATAACTGATAGAAAAAAGTAAGTTTGAGGAACAAAAGTTAACAAATAAAATTTATAACGATTATTCATCCCTTTTTCATCCTAACATTTCCTTTACTTCCTTTCCTCGCTTAAAATCCGTCAAAGTGCATGAAATCACTGGTCAAACAACAAAAATGAAATCAAAACATAAACTGACTTACCTGCAATGAGTGTACTAACTGTTGGATTTTCAACGAAACTTTGACCGGTTTCAGAGCTGACAACGAAGAAACTAAATTGAAACCCCTTTTATCAATTAGAAAGTTCAGGACACGAAATTATTCCGAAGCATACAACATAGGAATTTTCATTGGATAACAGGATACTAGTGAAAGTAAAAATGTTTGGCGGATTTACATAACACGAATGAATTTAATACAAACTATTTATAGCAAAAAGATGAAAAATTGAAGCTCAAATGATACTTGTTTAATTTTTAAAATTTAGAAAAGTGGGTCTGGAACCATTTGTGAATCAAAAACAAAATGAATATAATAGCATAAAATGAATATGATAGTATCAAAAACAGAATGAATATGACCTTGCTAAAATACGAGCTACATTAAAAGCAGTAAACTAACTATTTTATATGTAAGAGACGTCAAATTAACTTACGTACAACTGCGTTCTGATAATCTTGGTTGTTTACATTTGTTATCGCTATGCCACTTTCTGCAACGTCATTTGCATAAATGACATCAGAATTAAATATAGTTTCCTCTGCGCCCGTCACTTTTTTCATGGCATTTCGCTCATTTTCGCTTATAACCTTCCTCTCCTGCCAATCATCATCATTAATTCTCTGAAAATACGATTTACTGGAATATTAAAGTAAGTCAACATAAATGTAATTAGTTAAATAACAAAATAAAAAGAATCGAAGTACGCTTGGAAGGAACCTTAGGGGGGAAGAAAAAGAAATACAAAAATATGATAAAGTCCTTGAAATTTATAGTGAACTGCAAAAGATACGACTAAATACACTAAATTAAAGGACATTGAGAATTAACTAAAATTATGTGATGAAGTAAGAGAACAGTTTCATTTTAAATATTTCAAAGAGTTAGTAATTTAATACAACGAAAATAGTTGAGTACCAAACTAGCAATATACTATTTAATATGCAAATATTACTTGTTTTCTCCGATCCTGGAATACTTTTCGCACTGCAGCACCATTTGCCACAGCAGTCGCTGTAATATCAGGAGGTGGAGGAAAAGATGAAGCATCTAAAATTTGGAATTCAAAAACTCGATTCTCTGCTTGAAAAAATGTAAGCCAAAATTTCTGCTAATATTGCTCATAACATATGCCATCAAATTGACAATCCTTCAGGAAAAAAATTTATTCAGAAGAAATTTTTTAACTTATATTTAATGAGGAGCAAGTTAAGAGAGAAAACTTTACCTGACTTTTGGGAACCATTAGTTAAACTTTTCTTCTGTTGTTCATTTAATGATAGTGTTGATGACGTACCTTTGCTGCGATCAGTACTACCGAACATACTATCATCCTCGGAACTGCTATCTGCATAATAATTTTACCAAAACAAATCAGATTTCAATAATATGATATTTGTTCTTCTTTTTGATAAAAATAAAATCCCCGAAATTATTATGAATTGCACCATCATGGACTTGAACGATAGCAAATCTCAACTATTCACGGTTTTTGGTTTAATTTCTAAATCGAAAATGAAACTTTTTTTTTCTCATATGAATCTCAGCAGTATCAACAGTTCATGTTAACAAATCATTAAAAATATATTTGCAGAATTACCAGACGCTCGATGTCTTTCTCGTTTTATCTCAGTGCCACGTCGTTTTATGGGCGGTAAAATGTTCGGCTTTTCCTTTTTCCCTGCAAAATTAAAGCAATAGTTATAAGATTTTGAAACAAAACCACTCTTTGCTAATTCAGTGTTCTCTTTCTTCGCTTTTTTTCCTTCAACTTTGAACAGATGTTTCACCTATTTCGCTATTAATACTATTAGTAGCAAATAAAGCATCCGTAAGATAAAGCGACACCCATTCATTCCTTATGACCCTCTTTTATCTTTTTCTATTTTTTAATCCTTTATACTAATTTACATTATATATTAATTTTTGCAGCTTTACTCATTAAAAATTTGAGAAAGAAAAGCATTAAAAAAAACAGTGAAAACAAACCTTCAGAATATTCGGCCAGTGCCTGTTGCACTGCTTCAACATGTATTTCTGGAACTCGTTAACTATTTGTAAATTGATAAGAAAAAAAGTGAGGCAGGTATTAAAGATTTGATAAAATAATAAAAATAAAATTATGGCATGTCTAGAAATTTATTGAATCATTCAAGCTATCATATCCTCTAATATCAAGGAACTAGATATAATCTTACACAACCATTCATGAAAAAAAATTTCAGGTTATTAACCACAAAATTATTATCCACCCAACTCATTGGTCATACTACCAACACTATCGATGATCGATAAATTGTGTAGCTGTCCGATCGTGATCTCTATAGCAATCGTAAAGAAAGTCAAGATAAGTGGATAAGTTTGCGGAGACCAAATGTTTGAAATTAGATACTACTTGAAGTCGTACTTGATGAACAAGTCCTGTACCCTTAGGCACGAGTTCAAGCAACAATAGGTGATAATTCATCCAGATGATCTTGATGTTAATAAAGTCGAAAGATTTCGACGTAATGAATTTTGCTTTCCCAAAAGCTAAAGAGTCATTAGTAAATATGTTGTCACATGCGTGATGCTAGAGGAACAAATTTGTTTGAATAAGCATTATGTAAAAGTTTGTCAACTGTATTGCATATAGCCTCAAAAAATACCAGAATGAAAACGTGATTCATCACGCGTAAGACGTCGCTGATGTTTTCTTTGTGCCCTAGTACTTGGACTTGAAGTCGCCTTATTACCTGCAAAAAAAAGAAAATCAAGGTTTTGGACATCAACCGTGAGATTTCTTAATGATTTTTGAACAAATACTATTCGTGCTAGTACAATTTTGAACTTATTTAAGCATCTTTTGTTTCATTGTTAATGCATTTTCAGTATATTCTGAATAATGCCGATTGTTGCAGAAACAAACTTCTGATTTGAAAATAGACTCTTCTCTCTTCTTGTCTGTTTTTCTTTTCCAAAAAAAACTGCGAAAATTTTTTTAACTTTAAAAAAACAACCATACCATCTCTTTTAATCCGCAAATAAGGTCCCAATAATAATTGTCTTTTTTTGTCATATCCTTTTTGTGTGATGTCGCCTAAAATGAATGAATGATTACCAAATATTTTGAACAAATCATAATCATGAGCTAATCATCAAATTAGGTAAACAAATTGGTTTAGGATAATCAATATAAGGTACATATAATGTATAACTTTGTAGAGATATATCGCCAATTATCTCCATGAAAAAATTGCATTAAATAGTTGAACAATTTCATCAATTCAGAATAAAAACGGCAAATACTATATTTCATATAATTTCAAACATTTTACCTTCTGATAACTCTAAATCAAGCTGAGCAAGGCGTTCACGTACGTCAGATGGAAGACTGGATACATCAATAGCGTCAATAGCGTCAACCATTACGATAACTTGACCGTTCCAGTTCCGCCGTTCACCACCTGCAATATCATCACATAGAGAGAGAGAGAGAGAGAAGAAAAAAAAAAGAAAATCAAGCAAGAAAAAGAAGCAAAAACGGTAATACGGGGTAAATCGCGAATACTTTACTAAATTCTACCTCCAATAATCGTAAATTACACATGTAAAAATTATAGGAATGTATAAAAATGTTTAAAGAAAACAAAAACCAACAACGCATCAAATTTCGAAATAATTTTCCTCTAAATCACATCAGATGAAATTATTAAATTCACGACGTATTTCACGTCATTTACCTCAATTACGCTTAAACTTAGTGCAAATCTAAAATCATATTTTTGTAGATAATATGAAAATTACTTCGTCAAAATGGTATGCAATTAAAATTATCGCCTACTTAAAAATGCATATTTGAAATTATTCCCTACTTTAAAATGCATACATATCGTTAAAATGTTAATAAAGACAATGATAATGGAAGGAAGGAGTAAGATTTTGTCATCTTCGTTCTGTAAATTTATAACGGTTTAAAATGATTTAAGCCATAATGATGTAAGTAAATATCTAAATATTTAAATGATATATTAATTGTAAATATGGGTCGCATGGTTCACTGCACTTGTGGGAACATCTAAAAGATATTTGTTTTGAAGTGAAAAAAAAAAAAAAAAAGAAAAGCGATCTGAAATTTAAATCATACTTTCATAAATTAAAACAAATACTGATGATTTAGCTCCCTAACCTTAATTTTAACATCTAGATTGGACAAATTCTTATTACTTTTCACCGTTGAGTTATTTATCATTCCTGTAATAAAAAAAAAAAGGAACATAAAAAAAAATCTCTAAAATATATTAAACATGTTTTACACCGCTCATAATATCGATACTTGATTAATCTCAGATAATTTTCCATCTTTGTGAATTATTAGCACAAAAATCAATAATTTTGTTCCATTACAAATTACAAATGAGAACATTAATAGGTAATACAAATACAGTAATCCCAACAATTAATTATCATATATTTCTTAAAATGAAAAGATTTATAAGTATACTTTTATTGTAAGTATAGAAATATAGATTAGAGAAACATTATGTCACAGTTAATTCCATTATATCTTTGATAAAATTTATGAATTTAATCGAAATCATCATATAAAACTTCATCAATTCCCTGTTTTCCCTTTCTTCTTTAACTTCTCTCAAATAAACAAACAAATAAAAAAATCAAACGATGAAATTTCGGAGAAAAAAAAAAAAACGATAAGAATTCACAAGAAGTGAAATAAAAATACCTACAAATTCATTATCTCATATTCCAATTCAAAAAAAAAAAAAAATTTTCAAGGTTATGTTCAAATTAGGAATGATTGTAAGAATGTCCACAATATATCAAACTAAATATCCTATAAAAAATTTATATAAATCATGTAAATACTTTATTATTGCTAATGTATTATTGATTGAACATATATATACATATATAGGTGACATCTAAATGTCAACAAATTCCTACATGCTATTATCTCCGAAAATTTTTAAGCAATTCATACATAACTATGATTGATAATGGTAACAGTGATACTTACAACAAATAGAAATAGAGATCCAACATAGTTCATTAGCTATTATTATCACTTCAACATCATCACTGATATAATAATATACAAGTAGGAGTTGTAAATTTATTAAGTATTATTATTATTATTATCATTATCAATAGATAATAAGCATCTAACATGAGCAATTGATCGTTTATAAGTTTTATGAAGAGCACTTATAACTGGCCATTATTAGCACTGAAATTTGTTGATTAATAGAAAATGCCTAGAAAGAAGAGGGGAAAAAAAAAGAAACTTTCCATTGCAATAAATATATAATACTTATTTTTCCATATATACATATATCTTTAAAAAAATTAAAATTTTATATATATATATATTTTGTGGTCACAAAATTTAACAATCATTGAGAAAAAATAGAAAAAAGAATAAAAAAAGAAAAAAAAAGAAACGCAAATACTAAATAAGTTATAATATTCTGTGCTTCATTTTAATAATAAATGTAGAGTAATTAAAATTGATAATGAAAAACTTGAAACTTTTTGAAAAAATTATTTATACCAAATAAATTATCAAAATTAACCGAATGCAATTATCATTAATTCGTTTCCAATTCATTTCAATTTCATTTTTAATTCGTTTCCAATTCATTTCATCATTGATAAAAGAAATTTGAAATATATTACAAAAATTTGAAATTTTAATAAGTATTATGAAAAAAAAAATATATATATTGCATATGTAACAATATATTTATTATTTTAGAAAATAATTATACTAAAAAATTAGTTATGGAAATTTTCGTAATAAAATTCTAAAAATTTTTTCCTTTTCTAAAATAAAATTG